AGCATGGAGCGGTCCGAGGCCCACGGCTTCGCCGCCGCCATGAGCGGCGCCTTCCTGCTGTCGTGCCTGCTCTTCGCGGCGATCAACCGCCACCAGCGCGGGCCCTACATGGACGAGGCCTTCCACGTCCCCCAGGCGCAGGCCTACTGCCACGGCCGCTTCCTCCAGGTGCTGCGCGGGAGCCGTCCCGGCTCGTGTTTTCCAGTCAGGATCGATGATTTCTATAAACATACCGTGGGCGCTTTGAAAAGGGAATCATTTGTGGTCATTGTTGTCCAAAACGCTGGTTTCTGCTTTCTGTTACTTGGTGGTGCAGTAGCGCGCAGGGCAGGATACAAAGTGTTCAAAAATGTCAGTCTAATAATGCCAGAAATTCGCTAAACATCCAAGCTAACAGAATGGGGCGTGGGTAGGGACGGTACCTCGTAACCCGTCGTGCGTCTCTGGTCCCGTTTTTGTGTGGTAGCAGCTCCGTAACCCTGTTTCTCTCTCCACTTTCCAGTGGGATCCCATGATCACCACGCTGCCGGGCTTGTACCTGGTCTCAGTGGGAGCAGTGAAGCCCGCGGCGTGGCTCTTCGGGTGGACGGGAAGCGTGGTGTGCTCTGCGGGAATGCTCAGGTTTATTAACCTCCTTTTCAGTGCTGGGAACTTCTATTTACTGTATTTACTTCTGTTCAAGATCCATCAAAAGAATAAGGTACAGTCAAAGTAGAATAATTTTATGCGCTCATACAAGCAATTTTGATGGCTCTGTGTATGTTCGCTTCACTACATATGTGAGCTGTCCTCAGTTTTATACAACTGCAAGTACTACTACCAGTTTGGCCAAGGAGGCACATTCCTTTTCTCTAAATTTTTTTAATATCTTTTTTCTCTGTCAGGGTGCAATCCTCTAAAAATTTACTCTTGTGCATTACTATAAGTAGTCCCATTGAAATAAAAGTTAGTACGCATATAGGCTTACTATCCAAAGGTCTGAATGCTCATCTAGTTGGAATTGCTTCAGACTCTCCCCAAAACTTCAACCAGTGAATCCTGAGTGAAGCCCTGTGAGCTGTGTTTAAACTAAAATGTGTTCTTTAGAAAGATACCAGATTTGATGTCAATATTTAGAACCGGACAATAATTCAAGTTGGAAAGAATTGGAGAATGATTTAGGTTGGAAGGGACCTTAGGAAGTCCAACCTCCAGCTCAAAGCAGGCCAGCTCTGAGATCAGACCACATTGCTCAGGGTTGGGGCCTGGAAAACTCTCCAAGGATGGAGAGTGACTGCAGAACCTCTCTGGGCAACCTGTTCCATGCCTGACTGGCGTTACGGTGAAGAAGGTTTTTCTTACATCCGGTCTGAACCTTGCATTTCAGTTTATGACTCTTGTCTCTTGTCCTCCCACCGTGTACCACTTTGAGGAGCCTGGCTCCCTTTACCTGTTGACATCTTCAGAGGTATTGCTAGGCTGCTGTTCGGTCTCCCCAAGACATCTGTTTTCCAGGCTGAACAAGGCCAGCTCCCTCAGCCTCTACTCTTAGGGCAGGTGCTTCAGCCCTCAACTGTCTTGGTGGCCCTCTGCCATTGCTGCAGTTTACTAGTGCCTTTTTTGTATCACAGGGCACAAAATTGGATGTGATATTCTAGGTGCAGCTGAACAAATAGAGTAAAGAGGGATAATAATTTCCCTTGATCTGCTGCTATGCTCCTGTTAATGCAGCCCAGGAGGCTGTTGCTGTTCCTTAGTGCTAGGGCATGCTGCCAGCTCATGTTCACCTTGCTATCTGCCAAGACCCCCAGGTCCCTTTCCACAGAGCAGCAGCTCCTCACCTACTCTGTGCCCAGCCTGTATCATTGTGGGGATTTCTTCCTTTCCAGGTGCAGGCATTTGCATTTGTCCTTGTTGAATTTCGTAGTATTTCTGTTGCCCCATTCCTCCAGCCTGTCTAGGTCACTCTGGATGGCAACTTTGCTCTTCAGCATATTGCCTGGTCCCCCCAGTTTAGTATCATCTGCAGACTTGATGAGAATGTACTCTCGCTGCCCTCAAGTCATCAATAAAGATGTTAAACAAGACAGGTCCCAGTATAGATCCCTGTGATACTCTGGTTGTTACACTCGCCTTTGGATGGAGTGTGGCCAGTTAACCATCCAGACAGTTTTTACCTGTCTAGCTGTCCACCCACCCAGACTGTAACAGTTCAGCTTGGATACAAGAATTTTGTATGTTTACAGTGGTGGAGCAACCACCACTGCAGTAGGTAAATTGTTCCAGTGGTTAATGGCCTATTCAAAATCTTTCACCTTAGTGAAGTTCTTTAGTTTCACCTTAACCATGAAGATATTTTTTCCTGTTCCCCGATAACTGAAGGATTCCTTTACTATAAAGAAAATTTCTTCTGATCTATTTTCTTACAGGAGATTCTTCATGTTTAAGCACATGGTAGGACTATGCAGAATTGGGTCAAATTCAATAAATTGTTTCTACTTTCGGAACACTTTTAATTTTATGCTTGGAGGTGGAAATACAAATGTAAGAAAACCAAAGGTTTCATGACAGTAGTCTAGGCATTAGAAAATGTAGTTGTATTGTTGGCACTTCTTTGAACTCGGCATTTTCTCTGTTCCTCTTTTCTGTAAGGTGGTGACTGGCTGTTTCACCCCATGCTACATCATTCAGAAACAACATGCAACATTTTTTAATGTTGTGAATTGCGTTGCATCATGTAGTGAGTGGGATAACTGGGAGGAGTTTTTAACTGCATGGTCTCCTACCTTCTTTAAAGTTTCTTTTCTAACTCATGAATTATAATGAAGATAAACAATAAAAGCTGCACCAAAGATTAGAAACTTGGAACTGGCCGCTCTGTGGACTGGCTTCAAAAGAGGCAATAGTAGAAGCATAAAATGATGTGTTCTGCTGTCTCACAAATAAACAGAATGTGATGATGAAATTGCAGGGGCATAAAACATTGATTTTTTTTTTTCTTTTGCCCATTAGTGCAGCTTTTTTATTCTAGGTATGGGAGCAATTAAACTCCCACAGTGATTTTAATGCCACAAATATGTGAACGCCTGACATATGAAAGAAGTTGGTGTATTTTCATTGCCATATTTTTAACTCACCTGCAATAACGTTCCATACTTTCATTTGTCTTTTAACATTGTATAGTCTGACACTCTGTACTAACATAGCAGGAGGTTAACAAAAATATAGTATGCGTGCTTGTGCAGTAATGGCACCAAAGAGCATAAGAGATGTTATATTGTGTTAATGGAATTCTTAGGAATAATACTCTTTTTTTTTTTTAAATTTTATTTTTATTGGACATTGCTAACCACATTTTTCTGCTTCTTCTCTAGGCTGTGTCTGGTTTCCAGAGAATCTTGTCTACATTAACTCTTGCAATGTTTCCCACCCTTTATTTTTTTACATTCCTTTATTACACGGACCCAGGTTCAGTATTTTTTACTCTCTTTGCCTATTTAATGTGCCTTTATGGTAACCATAAAACTTCAGCTCTCCTTGGATTTTGTGGCTTCATGTTTCGTCAGACGAATATTGTGTGGACAGTTTTTTGTGCTGGAAATATTGTTGCAGAGAAGCTAAATGAAGCCTGGAAGACAGAGTTACAGAAAAAGAAAGATGAAAAGATTTCTTCCAGGAAAGGATCATTTTCAGATTTGATCAGAATATTGCAGTTTCTTATTGAATACCTCATAACGCCTAAAAACCTAGTTATACTTACTGCTTTAACTTGGCCATACATCATATTAGTAACTGTGTTCTTCGTTTTTGTCTTCATCAATGGTGGAATAGTTGTTGGTGACAGAAGTAGCCACGAAGCCTGTTTGCACTTTCCTCAGCTGTTCTATTTTCTGTCCTTCACTGTCTTTTTTTCATTCCCTCATTTATTGACCCCTACTAAAATCAGGAAATTCCTTCTGTCATTACGAAAGCACCCTGTGCAGTACAGCTTAATTGCCGTTATCTCTTTATTCCTGATCTGGAAATTTACTTATGTTCATAAGTATTTACTAGCGGATAACAGACACTATACATTCTATGTTTGGAGAAAAGTCTTCCAAAGACACGATCTTGTAAAATATGTATTGGTTCCAGTCTATATATTTGCTGGCTGGAGTTTTGCTGATACACTAAAATCAAAATCGATATTCTGGATCTTAATGTATTTTGTATGTTTATTAGCAGTCACGGTTCCTCAAAAATTGCTAGAATTTCGTTACTTTATTTTGCCATTCTTAATATATAGGCTCAATATTCCATTTCCATCTCTATATAGACAACTTCTGGAGCTGGCTTTTTATATTGTTGTGAATGCAGTAACTTTTTATCTTTTTCTAAACAGAACATTCCAATGGCCAAATAGTGATGAAATCCAGAGGTTTATGTGGTGACTTTTTTTTTTTTTTTGATAACTTTCATACCCTTAGGAGAACCCGGTTCTGTTTCAGGACTGTGGACTCTGGAATGAAGCAGTATGTTTTGCATTATGTAAGGACTTTTTTCCCCATTTGGAATTGGGGAAGTAACCCGTTTGTTTATTTCTTGGAACTGAATGTGAGATCTGATTTGTTGTAATGTAAAGATATTCCATATATTGAATTTATAAGCTCCTGGAATTAACAAATTCAATATGAAGGGAAATTTGTGAACAACTTTCTGTATGTGAAACGAGGGAGATGTTTACAGTCATTTTTCATTATAATAAAATATTACATAATATGCCCTTGAAGATATGACAGTTCATGTTTCAGAGGTTTCTCTTTAAAACAAAGTATTTAAGTGTTTAACCTTTTTGTTACCTCTGGGTGCATATTTACTCCTTGGATCAGGCCACTTCCATCTAGGTTTGCTAGCGGTCAAGGTATGAACCACTGCTGAAGTATAATGTTTTCAAAACCTCCTACATCCCACTAAATTTTCATGATTTTTTGTCAATAAATGCTTACGTTAGTTTTGCAGGCAGAATGTAGGCTCTTAAATCATTAGAGCATTTTGAAAATTTTATTTCAAACTGATATTTAGAAAATATAGTGGAGGCTATGTGCATGTACCTGCTTTGGGCGAATAAATGTTATTGTACACCAAAAGATAAATTGCAGCTGGTAATGTGACGTATTAGAGAGTTAATTTATGTATGTCAGACTGACACGTGTCATTACACAGTGGAATGCGCTCTAATGAATACCCTTTTAAATAATCAGGCTTTTATGTCCTGAGGTTCTGTGTTCACAGGTTTGTATTGAAGTAGGATATGAGTGCACTCCCAAATTGAACTGAGTGTTTCTAAGATCTTTGACGTGTGAATCTTAAAGAAATAGTAGTGGCATTACTGAATTGTTCTTTTAAATGTTTTTCATGTATATAAAATCTAATGGAACTAGGGAGTAGGTATTTTGTTTTACAAAGGTAAAATACAATGAGTGTATATATATATATATTCTTTTAAAAGCATCTAGTGCATTATCATCAGAATAAAAGGCAGCTGTAATGGTTCCTGTGAGTAAATGACTTTAATTAGGCTCAAAAATATTTGATCGCTTAAAGTTAACTATTAAGCACTTTTATAAATATAACTAAATTATGTGGCGGGGGGGATCCAAAACTTCACATACTGTGTAGCATCTTTTAAGTTTTTTCTTATTCTGTAATGAAAATGCTGCAGCCAAATCTATGCAAACATCTTGTCTTACTGCCACTCCAGTCACTCTGAAATGGAATTGTTTCTCAAAAAGTCAGTACTGCGGAGTTGTTACTCAGATCGGTACCGTTATGTTTTTTTTCCTTTTACATATGCAGATCTATGTCCTGGCTCTGATCCCTTCCCTGTGCTAACACTATGAAGAGTGTGATTAACTCAGATTCTCCCATCCAATGTTTTTGCAACCCTGTTTCTTCTAAGGAAACCTTAAAGCCACTCTTCAATGAATAGGTTTATTTGTATAGAATTTGTTTGCCAGGGCACTGTTTGCTTCTTGGCCTGTTGCCAGTATGGTAATTTGTTGATAATGTGTGTACAATAGGGAAAGCCATTTTCGACCACTCCCTATTTGCTTATTTCTAAGTTGAAGGGGCAAGAGAAAGGCGAAATGGGTTGCTTTTCAAGAATCCAGCGTGGTTCTTGCAGAGTCCAGGATGTTGTCCTCTGTTGTGATATTAGTATGACAGATTTGGGGGGGGAAGTCTTGCATGCCTTCTGCTTCCAATTTGGTTTTTGTATACCACACCAGTAAAAATGTAAACAAGGTAAAGAGCATCTGCGTGTTTTAGTACAACTTCATTTGTGTCCTCAATTTTAAGTATTGAGTGAGTTGAAATGGTAACATGGGAAGGGATGGGGCTCTGGCTAGAATTCTGAATTGTCTTCTAGGTCTGGGGTTTTTTTCTGGCTTTGTGTAGGGGAGCAGGTGTTCATTCGCTTGACAAGATGCAAAAATTCCTTTGCTTATGTAGTCCACACGTGTTTTATTTTGTCGAGTATGTCTATTGATACTGGTATCTGACTGCCTTCGATTATCAACACTGTTAAGAAACAGTGTTTGTGCTTCCTACCTATTTTTAACAGAGATAGAAGCCATGTTTCAAGTGAAAGGAACCAAGTTTAAATATATACAATTTTAATGCATTTCTTTTGTAAAGAAAAGTGAATGCAAAAAGTCCCTGAAAATTTAGAGCTCCACATCACAAGACACTAGAAAAATTACATGTAGAGAGATGTCTGTGAACTGTCAGGGGTTTTTTAACCAATATTATAAGATGACATAATAGTTTATCACAGGATTTAGTGGTATACTTATATATTTTAATTTAAGAGTACAATTATTCTCAACGTATTTTGCTAATTTCAAAGCAGACTGAGTTGATACAAGTTTAAATTAAAGAGGAAAGTCCATGAATTACGAAAACATGAAAGAATTTATTTTTAGAGTAAAGCTATGTTTTCACTTTTGCTGATGAACCACGGGAAGTTTGCAGGTAATATTCAATGTTGGCCTGATTCAGTCTCAGAAATCAAGATGGTTGCAATTATATCGTAGTTAGTCATAAAGAAAGGTCTCCAAATTCCATCAACATCTCTCAGAAATTTGACAAGTATCAGTAGCATTGTCAAATCTAGATATAAGAATTAGTTAAACATACTTTATAATCTTGGAGCAAGTATCTTTTGGAAAATTGATTTTAGTATTTTGCTCCTGAAATATTTCCATTGTAGTTGTTCGTAATTTATTAGCTATTCATCTTAAAGACTTGCAGAAAGGACTGTGTTTATCCTGGTTTATGTTGCCAAGGTCTTCTAGTTTCGGTACTTTCTGTATGTGAAACGAGGGAGATGTTTACAGTCATTTTTCATTATAATAAAATATTACATAATATGCCCTTGAAGATATGACAGTTTATGTTTCAGAGGTTTCTCTTTAAAACAAAGTATTTAAGTGTTTAACCTTTTTGTTACCTCTGGGTGCATATTTACTCCTTGGATCAGGCCACTTCCATCTAGGTTTGCTAGCGGTCAAGGTATGAACCACTGCTGAAGTATAATGTTTTCAAAACCTCCTACATCCCACTAAATTTTCATGATTTTTTGTCAATAAATGCTTACGTTAGTTTTGCAGGCAGAATGTAGGCTCTTAAATCATTAGAGCATTTTGAAAATTTTATTTCAAACTGATATTTAGAAAATATAGTGGAGGCTATGTGCATGTACCTGCTTTGGGCGAATAAATGTTATTGTACACCAAAAGATAAATTGCAGCTGGTAATGTGACGTATTAGAGAGTTAATTTATGTATGTCAGACTGACACGTGTCATTACACAGTGGAATGCGCTCTAATGAATACCCTTTTAAATAATCAGGCTTTTATGTCCTGAGGTTCTGTGTTCACAGGTTTGTATTGAAGTAGGATATGAGTGCACTCCCAAATTGAACTGAGTGTTTCTAAGATCTTTGACGTGTGAATCTTAAAGAAATAGTAGTGGCATTACTGAATTGTTCTTTTAAATGTTTTTCATGTATATAAAATCTAATGGAACTAGGGAGTAGGTATTTTGTTTTACAAAGGTAAAATACAATGAGTGTGTATATATATATATATTCTTTTAAAAGCATCTAGTGCATTATCATCAGAATAAAAGGCAGCTGTAATGGTTCCTGTGAGTAAATGACTTTAATTAGGCTCAAAAATATTTGATCGCTTAAAGTTAACTATTAAGCACTTTTATAAATATAACTAAATTATGTGGCGGGGGGGATCCAAAACTTCACATACTGTGTAGCATCTTTTAAGTTTTTTCTTATTCTGTAATGAAAATGCTGCAGCCAAATCTATGCAAACATCTTGTCTTACTGCCACTCCAGTCACTCTGAAATGGAATTGTTTCTCAAAAAGTCAGTACTGCGGAGTTGTTACTCAGATCGGTACCGTTATGTTTTTTTTCCTTTTACATATGCAGATCTATGTCCTGGCTCTGATCCCTTCCCTGTGCTAACACTATGAAGAGTGTGATTAACTCAGATTCTCCCATCCAATGTTTTTGCAACCCTGTTTCTTCTAAGGAAACCTTAAAGCCACTCTTCAATGAATAGGTTTATTTGTATAGAATTTGTTTGCCAGGGCACTGTTTGCTTCTTGGCCTGTTGCCAGTATGGTAATTTGTTGATAATGTGTGTACAATAGGGAAAGCCATTTTCGACCACTCCCTATTTGCTTATTTCTAAGTTGAAGGGGCAAGAGAAAGGCGAAATGGGTTGCTTTTCAAGAATCCAGCGTGGTTCTTGCAGAGTCCAGGATGTTGTCCTCTGTTGTGATATTAGTATGACAGATTTGGGGGGGGAAGTCTTGCATGCCTTCTGCTTCCAATTTGGTTTTTGTATACCACACCAGTAAAAATGTAAACAAGGTAAAGAGCATCTGCGTGTTTTAGTACAACTTCATTTGTGTCCTCAATTTTAAGTATTGAGTGAGTTGAAATGGTAACATGGGAAGGGATGGGGCTCTGGCTAGAATTCTGAATTGTCTTCTAGGTCTGGGGTTTTTTTCTGGCTTTGTGTAGGGGAGCAGGTGTTCATTCGCTTGACAAGATGCAAAAATTCCTTTGCTTATGTAGTCCACACGTGTTTTATTTTGTCGAGTATGTCTATTGATACTGGTATCTGACTGCCTTCGATTATCAACACTGTTAAGAAACAGTGTTTGTGCTTCCTACCTATTTTTAACAGAGATAGAAGCCATGTTTCAAGTGAAAGGAACCAAGTTTAAATATATACAATTTTAATGCATTTCTTTTGTAAAGAAAAGTGAATGCAAAAAGTCCCTGAAAATTTAGAGCTCCACATCACAAGACACTAGAAAAATTACATGTAGAGAGATGTCTGTGAACTGTCAGGGGTTTTTTAACCAATATTATAAGATGACATAATAGTTTATCACAGGATTTAGTGGTATACTTATATATTTTAATTTAAGAGTACAATTATTCTCAAAGTATTTTGCTAATTTCAAAGCAGACTGAGTTGATACAAGTTTAAATTAAAGAGGAAAGTCCATGAATTACGAAAACATGAAAGAATTTATTTTTAGAGTAAAGCTATGTTTTCACTTTTGCTGATGAACCACGGGAAGTTTGCAGGTAATATTCAATGTTGGCCTGATTCAGTCTCAGAAATCAAGATGGATGCAATTATATCGTAGTTAGTCATAAAGAAAGGTCTCCAAATTCCATCAACATCTCTCAGAAATTTG